AAATTGAAATGCATTTTTTTCTATTATACACTGACCTCTATTTGTAGATACATATAACAAAATAAATATAATGTTTAATATACATAGTTCATTATGTAGTTATGTTATGTAACTATATATAACGCACAGGTTCGTATAGGAATGTATTGCGCAAGTAATGTGTGTATTTTAAGTAAAAAAAAATATATTTTGAAAAGTGAAATATTTGATGTTGTCAATGATGCTTACTAATGGTGATTGTTTAAATACAAATACGAAGTCTCATTTTGTTTCAAAGTCAGATTTTTAATATCTTATAAATTTTCAAAATTAAGTTCTGTGTGCTTAGTGCGAGTTTTTTAACGCTGGTTTAACAAGCGCCCCTAGCGGCAAACGTACGCAAACATTCCAACTCCATACAAATTTGCGTTAACTTTTACGTTATCGAGAACGTTAAAAAACTCGCACTAAGCACACTGAGCGCAATATTATTATTTTCGAACATACGTTTTCGTATTGGGTAATCAGTATTTCGTATTTCTATATTTTATGTTGGTACACAAGATAAAAATCTAATAATTAGAAATATATAAATCTGTACCGTAGAAAAGTACTTAGCCTAATGATATCAGGGATGTTACAGATATTCATCTTAACTGCTCCAAAGGAAGTATAAATTCCGTCAGACGTTATATATATAGGTTATATAATAGTATAATTATGTTATGTAGATAGCCGCGAAAGCTTAAAACGATTCGTAGTATTTTAATTTTTTGTTACTTTTCTGTGACATCCCTAATATCGCTTCGTAGTGACGGCTTACAAAAGCTACTCGACAAACGACTGACTTAGCTATGACATTGTCTATTTGAGTCGAAAACTAATTCACCTACTATTTTCACCCAAGTTTCCTTTCCAGATCGTTTTTATTTTATTTTGAGTGAGTTTTTTAAAGAGCTAAAAATGTTGGCGTCTTATTGGACCATATATATTAAGTGTATAATCTATGATTGGACCCAAGCGAATCCCAATCACGATTCGCCCCTACTGTTGTTGATACTTTTTTTAAGGGGTTTTGTGACCTGGTAACTAGGACGTTTAGGTTAAGTCTTTTTTTAATTTTAATGAAAACTGCACCACCTCTTCATTTTAATGTTAAATAGTTTTGATACTGTTTTTAATATATTTATATATCGGTTAGTAAGTGTTTATGTCTTATTTTCACATCAGTGAGTTCACTAACCAATAGTCAAGCAAAAAGTTTTAACAGTCAAAAATAAGATGCTCCATGGTGATTTCTTTGGATCCATAGTGTGTACATTGATTGCCAAGTCTAGCAAGGTGCGACGGCGCAATATTATGGCCAAAGCGCAATCTATTTATCGGGGTGATAAAGTCTTGGCTGGCTTCGTTCAAACTGTGGGTACTTGCGTGAAATGCTATAGAACTAAGCATCGAAAATACAGATTAGATTATATACCCGTCAAAATCAAGATAAACCTATTTCATTATGAACTAAGTAAGTTATTTTAGTAGTTAAATATCAGTTTAGTTTCATTGGTCTTTTTTTTTAATTTTTTTTTTATCTCTACAAACCCGCATACAGAATAATCCTCCGTGCTATTTTCGCTGCCTTTGTACAGATAAACAGCGAACTAATTAGCACTGTAACAGAATATTTCAAGGGGTGAAAGGTTATTTATTTAGCGACATTTCGCTCAGTACGCGACATTTATCTTTGTAAGTAAAGGTCCGTTTTATTTAGTATTAACATGACCAATGCAATGTTTTTAATTGAGCTTCAATAAAATTATCATGATTGTCATGATATTTTTCTTCAAATTTTAAACTTTAAATGGCTCTCCTGTCAAGTTTCGAAAATGTCATTTAAGCCAAACACCCCTTCACCCCACGATTTAATCTCTCAAATGGCAGTATGTTCGTTTACAATCTCTACTATAGCGAAAAATAATTACGAATACTCAATACACTTAAAGCACGAACCGTTAAAGATTCAGTATTAATTTCATTCAATTTATCTCTAACGTAAATAAGGTTCTGTATTAAAAGTTTTTTTTAGAATCTTAGTTAATCTCGATCGAGATGAACTCGACCGTAAAAATGTAGTAGTTTTTTTTTTTAAATTGAAGCTTTGTAATACTTTGGAGGGTAGAATTAAGGAGAACCATCTTGTAAATTAAAAAGTGTCCGCTGAAAAAGAGCCAATTAAGATGGCGCCACTGTAGCAAGTGGAAAGATTTTAAAAACAGAGCCTTAAACACTTCACTCTGTTTAAAACTGCTATGTTCATATCATTTCAACTTCCCACACTAGCGCTATTTCGGTGATTCTTCCAACTATAGCTTGCTGTTTACATGTTGACACTTATACAACGATACTGAATATATTAAATTAGCATTTGTCAAACTATCACATACAGTCCTCAAAACTTTCACTCAATCAAAGCTATTGCATCAAGAGCGTGTTTTTTTTTATTGCCCTTGTAGGCAGACGAGCGCACGGCCCACCTGATGGTGAGTGGTTACCGTCGCCCATGGACTACAGCAATGCCAAGGGCAGAGCCAAGCCGCTGCCTACTGGAATATGTAAGACTTCATAACGCACGCAACACTAAATTGACGTATATCCATGATCTTTTAATATTGACATAGTTATTGCCACGAGCAACGATGGCCAAGGTAAACGGTGTTCGTAAATTGAATGAAATTAATAATGCATTTACGCTAACATGGAATCCAACATCGATTAAATATACATCAACTTCATTATAAATTTATAGATACTTGCTTGTCGCATTTAGTTCAATCGTGACTTTAGAACGAGAACGACTTATGTGAACAAACAATATTATTTATTGAAAGACTTATCTTATCTTATACCTTTAAACGAGCAATTATTTTATGTATATATATATATATATATATGTAACCTCTATACGATTAATCCTTAAAGAGGTTAATATGTTATTTATATCATTCTTCTATAGATGACATAAATAGAATTTCGATTATTGAAACATTAGAACATTAGACATTTAAAGAGCATTTTTGCAATATTAAAATATAAAAGGATTTAAAAATAATGGTGAAGCAATAGCTTTAAATGTTGTTTCTCTTTATAAGAGCAACTCAATTGCTATAGTTTTACAAAGCGAAACTGTATTTTGATATAAATAAATAAATACATTATAAAACAACATTTCTACAGCTAGTTACCAAGAAAAATGGATAAATTGAAATTCGAGTTTATGGTTAAAGCCAGTGAAGATGTAAAAACAAATACTATTTGTATAACGACAATCACGGATTTCGATGGCCGCACCTTTACGATCCCAGATAAGTTACAACCTGTAAAATTACATGATAAAATAGTACAGACCGAAATCTTTCAGAAAGTAAAGGCTACATTACAAAAACGACATGAGAAACGACAAGTGTGGATATCCATGAACCCGCAAATGAAGGCTGATTATTGTGATGAAGATGGAAATAAACAATTTATGGGATACCTATTGGAGGAACAAACTTCAACAACCGGAGTGTCGGAATCTCTAGCTAGAATCATAGAGAAATTTTCTGAAATAAAAAAAGATTCGTCAAAACCATTTAATATAGGGAGAATGGCAGAAAAATTTGTTATAGAAAAATTCAACAGCAAGATTACTAATGTGTCCCAGTGGATGACTACCTTTGAAGCAGAATGTGCCCGTATAGGAATAGAAGAAGATGAAAAAAAAATTGAAATCTTTAGGTTNCTGAGTCAAATCTCTTTCATATTACCAAACTTATTCCAGTAATGGAGTAGTTTATTAAATAAGACTTTACAATTTTAAGGGGGGGAGATGTAACCTCTATACGATTAATCCTTAAAGAGGTTAATATGTTATTTATATCATTCTTCTATAGATGACATAAATAGAATTTCGATTATTGAAACATTAGAACATTAGACATTTAAAGAGCATTTTTGCAATATTAAAATATAAAAGGATTTAAAAATAATGGTGAAGCAATAGCTTTAAATGTTGTTTCTCTTTATAAGAGCAACTCAATTGCTATAGTTTTACAAAGCGAAACTGTATTTTGATATAAATAAATAAATACATTATATATATATATATATAATTTTAAAATGATTTCAACACTTTCGAGTTTTGCGGATCAAAACAAAGCAAAAGTTACGCAATAAATCTGTTTCCTGTAATTCTGTTGAATTTGGCAATTTATTGGCTGACCTTATCTGTGTTTCTACAAAACGGAATATCAGTATACTATTCTGTTTGCAATATTTACAACAACAACAAAATCATAAATCGTTGATATCATATCAATCACAGCAATGTGCTTATTATAAAAAAATAACCTTAATTTTTAAATATTGTATTCTCGAATCTCGGAAACGGCTCCAACGATTTTCATAAAATTTAGTATACATGGGATTTCGGGGGCGATAAATCGATCTAGCTACGATTTGTTTTCAGAAAATGTTGTTTTATTCGTGTTTTCGATAATCAACTTTATCGATAATCAACTTTATGACTCTTCCCGACATCTATTGGCGAATAATAATACTATTCTTAATTGAGAGCAACTAAATGCTTTAAAGAAACAACAAGATGGAGTTATCAAAAAAAAAACCCAAAAAAGCTCGGTCATAATCTAGTTATTTATTGGAACGAAGTTCCTTATCGCGCGTTGTGAAAGGGGGCTAGATGGAAAAAATTCTTACGAAAAGTTGTCACGACACTTTTTAGATCCGTCATTCTGACCAATCAACGTGTAGGCGCTTATCGTGTGACATTGCTCGTATCCGATTGGTCCGCGTAATGAGTACAGTTTCGCGAGATAGCGTTTCAACAATAGTAATTTAGTTCATAGTATTGTTTTTTTCTTCTTCATAATGCCGTAATTTATTATTATAACTTAAAAAAAAAATTACAATTCCTTCACTAATTAATCGAAAGGAACTTCGTTCCATCCGGGTGTCCCTTAACACCTCTGAAGTTTTTATTTATTATATATCACATTTTTGTATATAATATTTCATGGTAAGAGCAAGACAAGGTTACATAAATCTCTATATTAAGATTTAAGGCGCATGGTTCACTGCCTTTTTCTTTTCCAATAATTTCCCACCTCTAAACTTTATTCTAAGTCGTTTTCGTACTAAAGTCATCGATTAGTTCATTTCACACGCACCTGTTAACTTATTTGTGTAGATAATATTAATGGTTGATCATATCCACGCAAAAAACTATATCTGATCTTAACTCTTAAATGTATTGGAATACATTTAACTCTTATATTCGTTTGTGTAAAATTAATATTTCAAGCGTCTCTTTTATTTTTAATTGCCATTTAATACATTATTACGTAGTAACAGACGCGTAGTTGTAGATTTAAGAGTTAAAATTATAAATCTTAATCCAAACTTTTAAAAAAACAAAAATACTTTAAAAAAACGACCATTAATTTATTCCTGGACGATGTGCTATTAAATGTTGGATAAGAAAAAAACATATATATATTTTTTTCTAAATAATATAAGGCGCGCACTTACAAATGTTCTACAAAGTCAGTGCTAGCAACATGATGTCATCCAAATATACACCACAATTAAAATATTCATAAAACTTAAATAAACAATATAAAAACGTGTAAATAAATAAGTTCAAGCTTAAAAAACAAGCTGAGGAATGACTTTCGATATAAAAGAGATGTTTGGCAAGAACTATAGTTGTTGTTAAAGACAGTCAAACTTGTTGATACGCGTGTAATGAGCTAACCTTGCACTTTGTTAGGATATGTTCTTTCCCAAGGCGATTTTGTTCACTGAAAAAAAAACATTGAATTCATTTATGAACAAACTCACAACTTCGCTCCTAGAACAAATTCGATATATATTGATTGAATCTTAAGTATTTTCAGAATAGAAAAATTTTAATAATATTTTTTTATTCATTAATTTTCAGTAAGAGGGAAAGTCAAGGTTGTCACTCAAATTAAGTTAGGACTGGAAACTGGCTTAATTCACTTGAAATTTGCACTGTAACATTATAAGGAGGGCAGTTAGAGGCAGCATCCATAGGTGGACCACCTCGCAGCGGACCGATAATCATGAAAGTACTTGCATACGTGTGATGGCGATCCTCAGTAATGAGGGAACGGCAAAGAAGAAGAAAAGTAGGGAATCAAGTCTTTAAGTCATTTGGACCGTGGAAAACTAATAACTATAGTTGGTCTTCTAAGAATTACAGATTTAAAGAGATCAATTGTCCGAAATTGCGTCTTTAAAACACTTGTCTGATTCCATCGGATCAGCTGTATTATATGACAGTGAGATTTTTGTTGGATCAGTACAAGGGCTTACCTTCGTTTTCGGTCTAACGGAGAGCGTTAGCTTTTGTACCAAGTAGGTTGCGCCGTCTGTAACGAAACATTGTTTTGAAGTATCTATTGTCAAATCGATCGTTTTGAATTTTCGTTGTCTCATTAGTAGTTCAGGGCAAGTTATCGCAGTTGTTTTCGTCTATGTTTTAACCGCTAATGGATCCAAATCTTCGTATAGCAGCATCTTTATTGATATATTCAGATCCTATTTTCATTTCATGAATCGATTTTGGGTCACGTACTACATTTTGGATATTACAAAATTAAAAAGTCAATAGCTTGAAACTGCGCTAATCAAATCTATCAGTTGATTTGCGAAATATATGCTTATGCCACTTAACTAAGCTCCACCCTCGAAATGCCTGGTACTGCAAATCTCACTAGATCTTCTCAGTGGGTCCGATCTGATGGTAGATTCTAGGTTAGGGCTAGTGTTGGCAAGTTCTCCAGGCTGAGCCCCGTGAGTTCGCCTACAAAACCACTCGTAGCTGCCACAGTCTCATGCCCTACCCGCGATTGGGTAAAAAAATCATCATAATGATTACAATACTCACGCATAATATTAGCGAGGAAGTTAATTCTAGTCCTAGGGTGCAAGAGTAGCAGGTAGACCGGCGCAGCTGTGAATATCATGAGGCAGCCGATGCCGGTCTCGGCCGGGGACGCCACCGCCGGTACAGCCACCACCAGGATCGTGCAGATGATGTAGATCACTGGAACAGCATCACAATATTAATATAATAGTTGTTTTTTTTAAATAATATTTGGGCATTTTGTATGGTGATATTTTTTACTTTGGGGACTCCCATTGACACTTCCCGATCAAAGTTACGATTTTATCTATTTATTTTAATTTTTTATTGCTGAAATCGGTAAACGAAATCACGCTCCGTTTTGTGTTAAGTGGTTACCATAGCCTATAGCCGACTGTGCCACCCTTCAAACCCTTAAACGCATTACTCCATCGCAGCCAAAATGAGCTGGGTCGTGGTTCATATCCAAGTGACCTCACAAGACGCTTTAACACTAGTATTATTGGTTTAAAATACATTCATAAATGTACTATAGTTGTACTGATGTCCAAAAGTTCCTTATTTTCTCATAGAGCGTCGCCACTGGAGTACTTAGTGCTGCCCTCTACATCCAACCCAAGCCTTGTCTAAAGTTAAATCTGTTTGTGGGCCACCAGGAGGGTGTTCTCTCAGAAACGATCAAAGCATCTGTATAAGCTCACCCGGGAAGAACAGGTTAACTTTAATGGGTCGATCGAGATCTGGCTTCGTGTATCTCAGCACCGGCAGACAGAGTACCGCGGCTCCAATACTTAACTGTGAATAAAATACGTGATTTTTTATATATAAAAATAATAATATTTGGTTGTCTGTAAAGTGGGTTTACAGACCATAGTTTTACATGATAACGTTAGTAGCAGAACTATTCGAAATACTAGCTCTGAGATAACGCGAGAAGAGTGATAAACGTGTCACAAGCCAACGCTTGGGCCGATCGTGCTTCTCTATCGCTCGTTTCGCGTCCTCGCTTGCACGCTCAGGCTCAGGCGGAACGTGACAATATTTCGTGCGTACAGCCGATATTCATCGATTTATAAGACGTTATCACGTAAAAAATCGTGGACGGTGAACATGACGTTATTTCTTCATCCTGGAAGTAATTGGTCAGCTGCAGAGATGAGTGGTATCAGCCCAAGAGATATTTGAGCTTATTATATTTCAGCTCTGAGATATTTGATTTCATGATAAACGCTATTAATTGACGAATAACTTCAAAGTGAGGGAATAGCTTTGGGTGATAATATCCAATTTGTATTTTTATTGTATGTATGTGTATATTAATGTCGTGAGCTGTTTTCAGCCTAGATTTTCGAGGCCCGGTGATGATTCTTTCGACACTCAAAACTAATCACGATGAACGAGTCGGTAATCGGTACGATTGTAATTATATATCGTTTTTTTTTTATTGCTTAGATGGGTGGACGAGCTCACAGCCTCTAGCACCTGGTGTTAAGTGGTTACTGGAGCCCATAGACATCTACAAGGTAAATGCACGTTACAACGGCTGCGCCACCCGTCAAACCGAAACACATTACTACTTCACAGCAGAAATAGGCGGGTTGGTGGTACCTACCCGTGCGGACTCACATGAGGTCCTACCACCAGTAAGTGATTTTAATCGCTTAAACATCTATATTAGAGGATGATTATACTGAGCACAGGCGACAGGTGGGAATAGAGGCTCACCCAGGTAGCGAATCCGACGTAGTTGATGAGCGCGTATATGTCGGAGACGGTGAGGTAGAGCAGCGACAGCAGCGCCACGGCCAGCACGGCGGGCGCGGGCGTGGCGCGTGACGTCACCATCGTCAACATGGCCGGCATCTGGCCCTGCGCGGCGCCCGCGTAGAACAACCTGCCGGCCACACGGGGGCACAAGACCTGGTATTAAGTGGTTACTGGAGCCCATAGAAATCTTCAACGTAAATGCGCCACCCACCTTGAGATATAAGTTCCAAGGTCTCAGTATAGTTACAACGGCTGCCCCACCCTTCAAACCGAAACGCATTACTGCTTCACGGCAGAAATATCCTAGCGTAACTCTTAACGTAGTCCCAAGGTTAGAATTTTTACGAACTTCGGTAACCACTGCATGCTATGTGGACTGTGACCTCGCCAACTATAGCTAGTAGACAATAGCAGGTTAATGTGAGTTTTCTTGATACTTAAGCAAAGAATTCCACGAAAGCTTGGGAGAATTCGTATCAGTCAAAGATCTTGCAATAGGTAATATTGGAAAAGTAGTCATAAGAGATATTAGTTAAAGTCAAACGAACATTCAATCACTATTTTTGTAATCTTAATGATTTAAACTTTAAACTAAATTTAATGAATATAGGCTATTTTTAACAAATGCCCGTGATGTCTTTGGTGTCTAATTATTTTGACTCTTAATGACGTCAAAAGCAAAGGAATTTCGTAAAGTTTGTAGCAATCAAGTTTGTAGTTTCTTAGGTTTTCAGACGTAGAAAATAATTCTGCATTACTTCGAATCAGACCAGTGGCTCACCTAGAAGAAGTCAGCAGAACACCATTAACAGCTCCGAAAGTGGAGGCGGCTACGAACAACGGAATGGACAGGGCGAACCAACCGAACAAGCGCTCGGCAAACGTTACTGCTACCGCTGCTGAGCCCAGCACCTGGAGAAAACATCACCCAGTATACATTACTGACATATTGTAGAAGTAAAGCAAAGTATTCTTAAATCAATCATGAATCGTCTCGTGAATCATCAAAACAAACTTTATTATATTTTTAATTGCTTCAAAACTCGCCTCAAGAAGAATATCTCTTATTGCTAGGAAACACAGTGTAGAACAGCCGTGCGATTCTGTAAGCGTTGTTTAACAAACTCGCACGTGAATTTGGTGTGAGTTTTCAAATTGGCATTCTGTAAATTTCATTGTAGTGCCGAATCTACACTAGCGCCCCTCGCGGGTGAATTGAACTAGCAAGCGTGAGTTTTTTTTACTAAAATGTATGAGTTGACGTTTGAAACGGCATTCTGTAGTGTAAATCACGTCNATGTCAATCTTTTCAACAGTGTATAATCTATGTTCCGGGCGCTTCCGTTTTGAGTGTGAATAGCGTGCGCCCGCGTCTAAATGTATTTATTGTATAAAATTGAAAATTGTTTGTGTTAAAGGAAGATTAAAATTCGAAGTTCGATACTGGTGACTAACCCATAGTTTTAAATACCCCTGAGATCTACCCCTCACTATAAGTGTTTATTGTCAATATCTTATTCTACTAGGGCCACTTCTTTCAACTACGTCGTTTTAGTAAAATAATAATTGCTTCTTCTTTTTCTCCACGTTATCCCACTAGGTGTGGTCGGCACAGCGAAATTTTCTCTTCCATTCTCTTCTATCAGCCGTCATCTCAACACTCACTCCTCTCTCTCATATCGTCATTCACACAGTCCATCCATGTCTTCTTCGGTCCATCCATTACATCCATACATCACCTAGTCACATACATCTTCTCTCTACGCGTTACATGTTTTATACCAAGCTAACCGTCTGCTGTTTAATTTGTTAATGACCGGGGCTACTTTCACACTTCCTCTGATATACTTATTCCTTAAATTAATAATAATTGCTTGTTCGAATATATTTAATGCACTGCAATGCTTTCGACCAAATCGCGACTAAATTTATTACTTGAACTTAAGCGAAGGTTACAAGCATATTACCACAAATGTACGACAGGCGGTGCGGTAGTAGTTTCAACAAGTGGCTGTTACCTATAGTTACACCAGCGCGTGACTGGGTTAGATTAGTTAAAAAAAATGGTCAATACTCATCAAATAAGTGATAAGAAGGCTCGTTAAGTATGGTACGCGATAAAGTCAACCTAGATGACATGATTGTTATTCGATAGTGCCCTTACAGACCTTCCACGTACAACAGATCAAATCGAGGGTCCAATATGTATAGAACAACGGCACCATCATTAATGATATTATCATATTCAAAATATATAAGACTACATTGCGTATTCACTAAATATGAATAAATGAAAGATTCGATTCGATCCATATGATCGGAAATCTATGTGATCATCTTAAGCGGAATTTAATGTAAATAATTAATCAATGATCTAAATCCACAAGATAATTCCGTATATATTAAAATTTTGATCTTTGAAAAATTGATTTCATCTTATTAGATCTATTGTGTTGATGCTGCGGTATATCTGACCGTCACAAGTACACCACGTACCTCGGTGGGCGAGAGCGTGGTGTAGAAGGCGACGTTGGTGAGCGTGTAGACGATGGTGACCAGCGCGCACGAGATGGCGATGGCGCGGGGCAGGTTGCGGACGGGATCCTTCAACTCCTCTATTATAAAGTTCAAGTAGTTCCTGAAAATTATGAATTTCAATGTTTCTCTTTTTTTTTCTTTTTATTGCTTAGATGGGTGGACGAGCTCACAGCCCACCTGGTATTAATTGGTTACTGGAGCCCATAGACATCTACAACGTAAATGCGCCAACCACCTTGAGATGTAAGTTCTAAGGTCTCAATATAGTTACAACGGGTGCCTTCAATCCCTTCAAACCGAAACGCATTACTGCTTCACGGCAGAAATAGGTAGGGTGGTGGTACCTACCCACCAATAAGTACCACCAGTAATTACGCAAATTATAATTTTGCGGGTTTAATTTTTATTCCTTCACCGTAGAAGTCAATCGTGAACATTTGCTAGGCACGTATTTCATTAGAAAAATCGGTACCCGCCTGAGATTCGAACACCGGTGCATCGCTCAATACGAATGTACTGGACGTCTTTATCCTTTAGGCCACGACGACGTCTCTGGTGGAATTGCAACCGGATGCTTGTAACAACCGCGAAGCAGTCATGTCCGAAGGTGGACGGCAACATGTAGAATGTCTATGTCTATGGCTCCGGTAATTGCTTAACCGGGTGGACCATGAGTTGGTTGACCAGTCTATTGCAATACAAAAAAATAGAAGTACAAACCATCCATTATAGGCAAATAATCCAGAATAAAACGATAGAGCTATGGAAGTGACATCCGACGTTGTGCCCTCAAACGTGAAGTGTTCCACTTGTCCTGAAACAAACCATACGTATAGTCTACAAAATCTTAATAAATCTCTATAAAAAAAACGTGTGGTACTCGGGAACTGCCGCGGTAAAGCTATTGCATTTTTTATCAACTTATGCAATTATAATTAGACAATGATAATTTAATATTAAAACAATAATAAAACAAGACAAGCGCAACGTGTGAATGTGTTGAACGCGAGCTACATGGTAGGCGGAGTGAGGGGTGTTAGGTTTTTTTCGTTACGGAATTTCATGATTCGGTCGACGCGCTCAAAGCCCGCGATAAAAGTTATGCAATAGCTTAAAAGGAGAATTTAATACGTTGAAAAGAAATTCACTCGAGAACCGCTGGAGTCATTTTAAGTAATTGAAGATAAATAAAATTGGAGGTATAGCGTATTGTCAGCTGGCACCATCCTAATTCATCCATCCGGGTGACAGCCGCTACACAATACAACGGAGGTGCCTTTGGATTCTGATCGTTACCGGCACCAGGGCGTGAGAAGGAATGAAATAAAATTGACCTCTGGCCAATGCACTATAACGTTTTGTAAGGATCGTAACAGAACACGAGAAGTGTTCAATTGTATAATGAGACATTTTCCGGTTTTCGGACGCCGACAGCGCAAAAAGGATGTGCACTTTGTCTTAATTTTAGTCGTAATACAATCATTTAATAATGCACTCACTGCACAGCAGCATTTAAATTCTGCGTAGACATTATTTATTTATTTATTTATTTAAGCATTACCAACAGGGTTTACAGTAAGACATAAAATAATATTGACATGTATATAGCAATTGATAACTGCAACTCTAATTATAGGCAATCACAGCATGCATTACATTAATATATCAACAGAGATTTAACAATAATAATAAAAAAAACGAAAGAAAGACAACAAGAAAAGTAATACCTGAGTACTCAGACCAAGGCTAAGGCTGAGGTTCAACAACAGCTTTTAATAATTTTGTTCCTGAATATTGGAAGGGAATCAATTGTTAATTGATTAATTAATTTATCAAATTTGGATTCGAGCTTTTCAACATGCAGCAGCAGAAACTGTTATATCTTGTAAAAAGCTTCATTCCCTTGATTTAAGCGAACGAATCTGATTAGTGACAGGAAGTCAAAACGACAATCTTATTCATGCTATTCAATGCATATTTGCTTCTTTTCTGACACGAATTGGCACGAAATTGGCAAAATGGCTAAAGTAACTCTTTCAAGCACGCAATTCAGAGAAGAATTAGGTTTAAAATTCTCTGGTTTCTCCAATTTGGCTATTTATCAAAAGATACCTACAGATGTGTAGCTTTTCTTTACCTACTATTAATTACCGTAGAACTTGGTTACATTGAAACCTAGGACTGAAAATGCCGTCACGCAACTCGAGATCTGAATCTTAATTTATTATTTTAGAAATATTATTATTAATATTTTATTAGACGTCCGAGTCCAATTCCAATCATATGCCAACACAATTCGAATTCAATCTCATAGTTAGGATCCACTTGTCAACGCGGATCGGCTGTCATTCAAGGAAATTCCTGGCGTTGACAGCCAGTTAATGAGGTATATCAATTCAGATACGCTATTGGCTCTCATTTAAAAAAAAAACGATATTCCAACCAACGCTTGTCATCATCAAGCTACCAAAACTTCTGAATGGGAAATATTTCAAAGACGGGAATGGGATTAATCAATATAATTTTCTTTACGTAATAGCAGGATACGGTCTCTTGACATTGAAACCGCCCGGGTCGATATCAATGTCCTCAAGCTAATATCTGTAAAGCAGTCGTTGTTTTCGGGGGGAATTTGGTTATGCCAATGTAATTTAAGCTTTGAGTAAGTCTAACAGTAAGCCTGGTTTGCCTTGTAACCTCAATCACTGCCGATCCCCAGATTGTATTGGTTCTGGGGAATATTTTGAGTCCGAATTTTGTGTTTGTCAGCCCCAAAACGGACTTTTATTGCGTACTGCTTCGCAAGGCAATACAGCCGCTATACAATGCAATTGAAATGCCTTAAGGTTGGTGGCAGCATTGACATGTGTCAAACAATTAATGATGCTAATTCTTCGGTAAGCAATAAGCACCTAATCTGTTCACAAACATGCTAGTGATAACCAGTGATTCAAAATGTAAGAGAACCGCCTCCATGCTAATATGGAGTCTATAAGGAAACTGTCATACGATATGATTAACATATAGATCTTATTGTCTTAAGGTTCGGTCATTTTACAACATATATGGACTCCCTTAATTCCTTAGCAGGTGGGCCCGTGATTCGTCCATCTGTCTGTGCAATAGGAAAGTCTACTGAATCACATAGGCAAAAGTCAACCAAAAGTCTATCAAGCTCCGGTTACCGTGTGTGATGAATATGCTCATAAAAGAACCAGATGGTAAAAGAGCCTTACCAATCATGATCAATACGTATTGATTGAAATCATTAAATAATAAAGTGCAATTCACTGCTATTTTGATACCATTTATTAGGGTAAGAAATTTTCAAACTTTTTTTTATTGCCTTGGTGGGTGGACGATCTCACAGCCCACCCGGTGTTAAATGCCGCCAAGCACCTTGAGATATGAGTTCTAGGGTCTCAGTATAGTTACAACGGCTGCCCCGCCCTTCAAACCGAAACGCATTACTGCTTCACGGCTGAAATAGGCAGGGTGGTGGTACCTACCCGTGCGGGCTTACAAGGTGCAAGGTCCTACCCACCAAACTGACTCGTGTAAGTCGTCTATTCTCTAATATGATTGTCTGAAGATTGATAAAAGTGGGTACCGAATCTACTCACCTCTGCACAGTTGATAGATCCCGGCTGCGATGATGATGAAAAGTGCCAGGAGCTTGGCGTACGTGAACCAGTCCTGTACCAAAGTAGCTGCGCGTACCGACCAGCAATTCACGAAGGTCAGCAACACTGTGGACATATTCGAGGGATGACTATCTCGCGGGAAAAGAGTAAATGAGTTATGTGGACTGTTAAGACGTTAATTTAGCGTTTCTTTAGGTGTTAATGTGTAATAATGGCGGTTTATAAAATGTTTAGCACCTATGAAAGCGCAGAAAGTGTAAGAAAGTGTAAGAAAATGAAACAATGTAGATTTCGTTTTCCTGGCTCTTGTCAGGCCAAATCATTTATGGCAGTCCCAGTTTATTTTCCCCACCTATTCGCTCGCGGCCTAAGTGGCTATTCCAGATACGCAGTCCCAGTAAATTGTCACCATTGTACTAGATCATTATCCCATCTCATCTCATTCCATTCTTTTTTATGTCATACAATTTTCTCCCATAATCAATTTTTACTAACAGAGCAAATAATGTAATTATTATTGTAAAAAATTAAGGTTTGGCTAAAGGACTACAGTCCAGGCCATTAAATAATTATCATTAAAAACGTCAAAGATACAAAAGGGTCGAAATGAGCACATTTTTCAAAAACAAATAATGTTCATAAAAGTCTCTAGTCACTAGTCACTAGTCTCTAGTCTCTAGTCTCTAGTCTCTAGTCTCTAGTCTCTAGTCACTAGTCTCTAGTCACTAGTCTCTAGTCACTAGTCTCTAGTCTCTAGTCACTAGCCTCTAGTCACTAGTCTCTAGTCACTAGTCTCTAGTCACTAGTCTCTAGTCACTAGTCTCTAGTCACTAGTCTCTAGTTAACTAACTAGAATGTTCGAGGCGATCTTAACGTTCTTGAAATAGTCAGAAACCTCCCGGAAAATATCTTAGGATATTCCTGCACTGTAAACTGTACTTTCAAATTCGAGATACCAATTGATTTTAACTGTTTGAGAGGGTACATAGAAATTTTTTTATTTTTCGGCGAAGTCAGACTGTGCCTATGATTTTAGCACTGGGTGTTTTATTACTGGTATGTTCTGTAATAGCTTCGTAATTAGGTATCGCATATATTAAGAGGTAAAAGGCCATTTGGTTTAAGCAACATTTTTGCAACATTACAGGAGAGCCAGTTAAAGTTTAAAATTTGGAAAAAAATATCATAACAAAAAACTTCTTCAGCTTTTTGAATGGGGGGGTAAACTTAATTGAAGTTCAATTAAAAATATCGACTTGTTGATGCTAATACCAAATAAAACGGACCTTTAATCACAAATGTCATGTACTAAGCGAAATGTCGCTAAATAAAAAACCTTTCACCCCTCGAAATATTCTGTTAGTGCTAATTAGGTTCGCTGTCTGTTCAATTGAATTTTTGATATTAATCTATATATATAAAAGAAAGTCGTGTTAGTTACACTATTTATAACTCAAGAACGGCTGAACTGATTTGGCTGAAAATTGGTGGGTAGGTAGCTTAGAACCAGGAGAAGGACTTGGGATACTTTTTAACACGTTCCCGTGGAACGTGACATAAAACGTAGTATAAGAAAACGCAACTAATATGGAATAACAAAACGCACTTGACAGATTAACGTAATGTAGTCTATGGTTAATTATAGTAGAATTTTGAAGTTGACTGGTTGATGTGTTTGTTTCGAGTTTCTATTAGCTTAATGTGCCGAGATAGGTAATCATTAAGAAAGCCATGTCGCGACCAACACGATCACATCTTTTCCAACGAAGCCGTAATGCAAGGATTCGAAATATTGCGATTGAAAGAACTAAAAAAGAACAAGAAATAAAAGTATAATAATAATGATAACAACTAAAATACATGTCCAATAAAGAATCATTAAAATACTTCCTTTTTTTATTTACATTAATTATCCAAATCAAAAATTTACCTTGATAAAATCAAAAGTCTACTCATTTATTGCCTCTAAGGCGTAACAAAGTTCGCCGGGTCAGCTAGTACTAAATAAGACGGACCTTTAATTACAAAGATAAAAGTCGCGTATTAAGCAAAATTCCTTAAACTTAAACCTTTCACCCCCTCTATATTTATAAATCCAATGCATAGTATAAATAGATTAATAAAGTTGAATGAATAAATGTCGCGTAAGTTTTTTTGACCCCGAAATCTAAAGCGAAGATAGCCGACGCGCGTCCCTGGGGCAGTGACCTTCGTGTCAAATGTTTGTGTTAAATCGCATTATCAAAAATAATAGATACTACGCAGATTACATTTTTGAGGGTAGTTCGGGATCTTGAACTGAAGTTTTGAATATTTTTTTTGTACGTGTCCGTTTTAATTTTTTTACTTTTAGATATATAAGTAAATAGCTTACTCTTATTATTCATAAATGAGTAGCGATCTCTAATTTATATTTTAATTGTCAAAGACAAAACCATACAGATAAGAAAATGGTATTCAAAACCGTGTTTAAAACGGGTTTCTTGTCTTTTTTTTGTTTAGTATCTATTGACGAACGTCATCAGTTTCTTCTTGTCTTTTTTTTCAAAATGTCATAAAACTATAGAGAATGTACTTTATGTCTTATAAATACTTTAATAAGTAATTCTATAATAGCATTAACGTCATCTGTCACAGAATCATACAAATGTACAAATATTTGTCATCCTTGAACATCTAACACAGTATCAATATAGATGAAATAGGTACATTTATTATTATTATTATTATATTATTACCAGCGACAGACGTCCACTGCTGGACATAGGCGTCCCCCAAGCCTCGCCACAAAAACCGGTCTTGCGCTGCCTGCATCCAGTGGATCCCCGCAAACCTCAACAGGTAGTCGGTCCATCTTATGGGAGGCCTACCCACGCTACGTCTTCCGGTACGCGGTCGCCAGTCAAGAACTTTCTGGCCCCAACGGCCATCCGTTCTACGAGCAATGTGTCCGATGCCACTTCAATGTCGCAATCCTTTGCGCTATGTCGGTTACCATGGTTTTCCTGCGAATCTCCTCATTTCTGATTTGATCTTGCGGGGAAACTCCGAGCATAGACCTCTCCATTGCTAATAATTTAAGTAGGTACATAGAAAGCTTAAAAAACTGTTTAACTTACATATGCAGCAAGCCGCAAGTAATCTGGTCGCGTCTTCGGGAGGGTCGCACTCCGGAAACAGAGGCTTCAACACGTACACGCTGAATGTTAATGCAACTATGGCCTGGGTAAAATAAACAAAACGATCTAAGAAGGTCATACAAACTGGTGGTACGACCTCTTGTGTGTCCACGCGGGTAGGTACCACCACCGTGCCTATTTCTGCCGTGAAGCAGTAATGCGTTTCGGTTTGAAGGGCGGGACAGCCGTTTTAACTATACTGAGATCTTAGAACTTATATCTCAAGGTGGGTGGCGCATTTACGTTGTAGATGTCCATGGGCTCCAGTAACCACTTAACACCAGGTGGGCTGTGAGCTCGTCCACCCATCTAAGCAATAAAAAAAAAACATAACTAAAGATTTTTTTGGTTATGATATTTTTTCGAAAATTTGCGATTGCATGCAGCAGAGATGCGAATGTTGCGATAGATGTGTGGAGTAACGAGAATGGATAGAATGCGGAATGAATATGTTAGAGGAAGTCCTACAGTGGCACCTGTGACAGAGAAGTTGAGAAGGGCGCGTTTGGGATGGACATGTGATGAGACGAAATAATAATGACGTTGGTAAGAGAGTCTTAACTATGAATGTGGAAGGATATAGAGGAAGAAGTAGACCTAAGAAGAAATGGATGGATTGCGTGAAAGACGATATGTGTAAGAGGGGAGTGAGCGAAGAAATGGTATATGATAAAGGAGTATGGAAGGATAAATCATGTTGCGCCGACTCCAAGTGTCTGGGAGAAGGGCAGGAGAATGATGGCCTTTTTGATAGCCTTTCACCCCTCGATATGTATATGTCGCATCCAGACAGGACAAACGAAGCGAAAACGCGCTACCTAGTGGTCGCGAGCCGCAACTACTCGTGAAACATCGGCTCACTTCGGGTGGTGTGCTTCGGCAGAGTCGAGGTGTCATCGCTCGGATGGAATTGAAGCACATTCGTTGCCTGACTTTGGAAGAGTGAAGATGTCTCGGAACTGTCATCGTTTCGTACTGCGCAATCTCTTTGCACGATTACCCACCCTTCATACGCCGACTATGTGAATAAATAAGGGTTGTGGAGGCTTGTGGAGAGTATTAAGCGGTAGGCAGCAGCTTGGGTCTGCCCCTGGCATTGCTGAAGTCCATGGGTCCATGGGCGACGGTAACCTCTCACCATCAGGTGGGCCGTGTGCTCGTCTGCCTACAAGGGCAATAAAAAAAAACTTAAAATATCGGCCCATCGGCCCATTCTGCCACATATATAATAATTTGCAGTAGAAATATGCAAGATGCCGGTACCAACACGTTCCAGCTCACAGACGCGCTGTAAGCCCAGTATTTTCGCATTACAAGGTTTCATAGTACCAATTGAGATAATATTGATATTTATGGTACAAAGTCAGGCCTATTTAAACTGTGTTCCGGTTTCAATGATCAACATGGCCATTAAATTTTGACGTCATATCTTAAGACTAGGCTTCGGTATAAAATCAATATCAGGTGTGGGTGTTTTTGACGGTGTTTATAATTTACAAAGAGAAATCCCAGTATAAATATACTGGTTATAATAGTTATAATAGCCATAAATGGCTAACAACCATAAGGCCATCCTCTCGTAGGTGGTTACTGCCGGCCATAACCGCTGGCAATGTCAAGGGCATAAGCAGGCTGCTGTTTACCAAAAAAAATGTATGTTTTGTTTCAAATGTCATTCACCCAACAAAAAGGGATAAAAATATTAAGTTTTCACAATTAAAATTCCATGTCAGTTGCAAGATATTGCCAAATTTGGTCTTCTCCTGATTAAGCTCCGTCTGAGATAGGTCAGCTATTATACAAACGTCGTAGGCATTATAGTGGGGTTTGATAGAGATACTGCCAGAAACAATATTCCGATAAGATATCGGAGATGCCGAAGAAAAAGATATATATTAACAGACAGAAACAACATTAAATTTAAGATGAGACAATTTTATTGAATCCCAGCATTTGCATCCAATAAAATCCGATGGTAGAAACAAATAGAGCTATATTGTTTCAATACGAAAGCTTTTATTGTTATCCTAGAGTCTCGTAAATTGTAGTAGAGACTTTTCCGTTTCAGATTTATAGGGTATTTTATTGCCCTTCTAGGCAGAAGACCATATGGCCCACCTGATGGTGAGTGGTTACCATCGTCTAAGGACATCAGCAATGCTAGGGCCAGAGTCAAGCCGCTGCCTGGGTCTCGGGAATGTAGCTATATTGTAACCATACTATGACCTTAGAACTTATATCTCAAGGTGGGTGGCGCATTTACGTTGTAGATGTCTATGGGCTCTAGTAACCACTTAACACCAGGTGGGCTGTGAGCTCGTCCATCCATCTAAGCAATAAATAAAAGCGAGATTTCCCAGACTCTGGTATTGGGGACGTTAACAATTTATCGATATTGCTTATGCCAAAGGCAGCGGTTATATTCATAAGCACGTGGCAGCAAAATAGGGCGGGCGTGAAACTAGTAATTTCACCAAGATCTTTATATTATGTTTATACAATACGTACATTTCGTTCGTCTAGCAACTAAGCAGTACATTATCAACCGCCCACGCGCCCTTCACAAAAGGAACAAAGCGTGGGCGATTCCTAATAAAAACGAAGACCAATTTCCTTCGTGAATACTCATTTCCATCAAGTCCGGAATATATATATAGAGGATGTTGATTGGAGCCATTTCTTCAAAAATATCACCGTATCGCTCGAGCTCACAGAACGTTTAGTGGGACCCTTAGAATAACTTCATTGCTCAGAAGAGCATCACTCAGAGAGTGGCGTTCCCCTAGAATTATACTGTGAGCATCAACCGGCATTTACTGGTGGGTTAGCCTATAGTGAACACAAAAGTTTGTGTCCACTATCCTGCCTATACCTACCGTGTCATGTTGCGGTTGAGCTGACTTGAGCTCCAGTTGCTTTTGACCTTCAGTGAGACCTTAATTACAATCGTAAGCTTGTCTGCCCATTAGAGACAATCAAAAAATATAAGGTTTGGGGATGCTAAGGGAAGAACTTCCACCGAGCGGGCGATATTGCTCTGTAGACCGACGGTCTAAATGTTGTTGTTCGGAACTTATATATATATGCAAGCTTATCTTGAAAATGTCGTAAGCGAGATTCAGGCATCTGTCAAATATCTTGCGTTTTTATGATGCCTGCCGCCACATAAGGTCTGAATTTCAATTGGGTTATTGATAAGCGAATCGGTGGTACCAACTCGGGCGGGCCAACAATCACGGTACACTTTGCTTCAACTATTTCTAACGGCTGATGACGAGGAAGCTAATCAAAGCGTTGGTTCAAGAGGTCTGGTGTCGCAAACCGCTATCTTTTGTATCACCGGATCGACCGTGATCATCTCGTCTCCTGGAGCCTATCTGGAGCTAGCAATAATGTGCCGCTAGTAAGTCGCAACTCAATGAGCACAATAGGATTTAAAAGTAATCCGCTTATTGTGAAACGCTATAACACGGCAACAGAATGTTGTAGGTTATACAACGTTTTTGTCTGCCTTTGAAATACAGCTCGTTTTGTTATTGACACGGTTAAACACGAAATGTTTTGGAACGAAGCAATAAATGGTTATCTTTTTTATTTTTTGCTTAGATGGGTGGTCGAGGTCAGGACCTACCTGGTTCTAAGTGGTTACCGAGGCCCATAGACATCTGCAACGTAAATGCCGTCACCCACCTTGAGATTTAAGTTCGAAGGTGTCAGTTTTGACAGTACAACGACTGCCCCACCCTTCAAAACGAAACACATTACTGCTTCACGGCAGAAATAGGCAGGGTGGTGGTACCTACCCGCGCGGACTCACAAGAGTTCGTACCACCAATTATTACGAAAATTATAATTTTGCGGGTTTGATTTTTATTACACAATGTTATTCCTTCACCGTGGAATTCAATCGTGAACATTTGTTAAGTAGGTATTTCATTAGAAAACTTGGTACCCGCCTGCGGGATTCGAACACCGGTGCATCGTTCGATACGAATGCACCGGACGTCTTTATCCTCTAAGCCACGACTACTTCAAAAGACCTACATATATACAGGGACGTCTTAAACTAGGATGGGGTCCTTGGGCACACTAGAATTTGAGGCCATTTTGGAAAGTAAAAAAAGCGAATTATAATAACATTTTTTTTACTGAGTATGACCATTTATTATAGGTAATCAAATACAGTATGATATAATATGTATGATATAAGAATGCTGCTGGTTTTTTGGTTACGATTTCGATAAGGTTTCTTTCGGGATTTCTGTTGAACAAAATCTTCTATTATAGGCATAGTATATGCCTTGTAAATACTTTCTGATTACTGATTTGTGAAAAAAGTGTAATGTGCCCGACAAAAATGTTTTGAGAATAAACGTGTGAGAGAAATTGTCGGTCTTTCGGGGGCCCCTGAGAATGGGGGCCCTGGGCACGGGCCCCGTGTGCCCTTATGGTAAAGACGGTATTGCATATATACCAGCAGTGGATGTACTTCAATTATGATGAAGTAATCATTTTATTACGTAACGGTCACGTACCATGACCGGTAACATTTCTGTAAACGTGAATACGTTATTTTATTTGGACAGGTGAAACTAATGTCGCGAGCGCGTTTGACATCTTCATGATACTCGACCTTGAAAATGAGACGTTGTTACCGAAAAACTGTGATGAATTGTATTTGCACGGTCTTAGTTGTACGACTGAAATATTTGATTAAGCATTAACTACATATAATGTCTCGAAAACAAAGTCAAAAATAATTATAAATTCATTGTTTTCAATCGCCGAAAATGTGAGTAATTAAGTCTTTTTTTCCTCAATAGGCCGTAAAGGCGCAAGTGCCCACGAGATGGTGAATGATCACTGATGCTCACGGTCATCAGCAATACCAAACATATCTATTACTGATAGTAGAGCAAAATGTTTTGAAGTCGTCGTGGCCTAAATGATAAGACGTCCGGTGCATTCGTATATAGCGATGCACCGGTGTTCGAATCCCGCAGACGGGTACCAATTTTTCTAATGAAATACGTACATAACAAATGTTCACGATTGACTTCCACGGTGAAGAAATAACATTGAGTAATAAAAATCAAACCCGCAAAATTATAATTTGCATAATCACTGGTGGTAGGACCTCTTGTGAGTCCGCAAGGGTAGGTACCACCGCTCTGCCTATTTCTGCCGTGAAGAAGTAATGCGTTTCGGTTTGAAGGGTGGGGTAGCCGTTGTAACTATACTGAGACCTTAGAACTTATCTCAAAGTGGGTGGCGCATTTACGTTGTAGATGTCCATGGGCTCCAGTAGCCACTTAACAACAGGTGGGCTGTGAGCTCGTCCACCAAAAAAAATGCTATTGTTTAACTTAAATTTGAAATACGTATATTTTTATCACACATGTCGGTGTCAAATTCGCTTTTACAATGCATTTTAAGAAGTAAGTAATTTTATCCGCTATTATTTGTACTGTTTGATGCCGTAATTCTGATAATTCTTTGTGTTTTGCAGATTCAAGGCTTGTTCCGCTTACCAGTTACGTCACCTTATCTCGGTTATTAAAAATCAGTATTAAAGTCTTTACGGCAAATTATTACAGATAAATTGGTCTGATTTATGAAAAGCGAGTTGCTGATAGCATGATATCCACAACCTCTTTGCTAGGAGTGGAGCGATGAAGAAGATATATGTAGAACAGCGATTCCCAAAGTATTTAGGGCAAGAGGCCCCTTTTCAAAACCTCAGACCGTCATAATCAGCATATTTGCTGGTGGTAGGACCTCTTGTGGGTCCGCACGGGTAGGTACCACCACCGTGATTTCTGCCGTGAAGCAGTATTGCGTTTCGGTTTGAAGGGTGCGGCAGCCGTTGTAACTATACTGAGACCTTAGAATTTATATCTCAAGATCGGTGGTGCATTTACATTGTAGACGTCTATGGGCTCCGGTAACCAATTAACACCAAGTGGGCTGTAAGCTTGTCCACTCATCAAAGCAATAAAAAAAGGGCGGTCCTCGGGAGCATGGGCGACCTAACTGGTGCTTCTGTACATACAACGTCAGCGCAACCACGACCACTCTGACAAGAATGTCCGACTGAGAAGAGATACCTTAGATACATTACATTATCGGAAAGCGAAATGACAATCTGGAAAAAATATGGGACAGTGATGGAACGAATACATATATGTACATATATTCGCATTCGCCGAAGACCGAAAAATTTATTCGGATATTCGGAGTTCTAAGGTCTGAACTCATATCTCAAGGTGGGTGGCGGCATTTACGTCGTAGATGTCTATGGGCTCCGGTAACCACTTGACACCAACTGGGCTGTGAGTTCGTCCACCCATCTGTAATAAAAATAAATTAGAAAAAACTTTAAAAATCCTATCCGATTTGCCGAGTTTTTCGAGTCGGTTTTAAGACCTTGTTTCCTTCTCTTTTAGTCGATCGCTCATTGCTGAGCTTCGTGAGGCGCCCGCCTGTGACCTTTTTTTTCGTAATTTGTAGACACTTATGTCGGTCAGTGGCACAGTTAAGGGCCTGGCTCAGTCCTCAGACCTCGTTTGCGAAATATCAAATAGATATCGACCCCTTTGCCCATCCCTTCTGTAGGGTTAGGCGTAAATCGTTTGGAGAATCATTGAATTACATGCATCGTTTTGTATTATTTTTCGTAAATATTTATTTCTAATAGTATTTTATTAACATTATTATAATATTTATAAAATTACTTGTTCTGTATGACGGATTGACTAATCAACGCATACTCTAAGTAGCTGAGGCTACAATCTAAACAAATTGATAGTTTGAAAAAGCATCTACAAAAGGTTTATTGGAAATTTCACCCTTAAAGGAGTTGTATAGCTAAGAGGTTATACAGAAGTCGGACATTCTCGAAGTGAGAAGCACATGGAATTTCATTTATCTATGTACCCTGTACTTGTTTCTAGTTAGAATAAATCCAGATATTTCTTGGTTTTTTTCAAGACTTTACCACTAACAGCTTGAAGATTGACGTATTTTATAAGAAGATACATGTTTATTTACTTTTGAAAGAGACAGCGCGAAATTTAAATGAGAGCTCACATTAAATTGGATGCCCTTGGTTGTGGAAAATGTGGTTTTATTATCTCTGGGCTCTTGTTGTCGCATTGAAACGCTACGTTAGTGACGTCACAAGAAAAAATTCAAATATATTATATTAAATATGAAATTGCATTCACACCTGAAGCGATAAAGTCCAATTTCGAATGTGAATTATCCTTATTTCAAGATCTGCATGATACGGTCACGCTTCTGTTACTGTTTAGTTATAGTATCACCAAAAGAATCATTAAGCGAACGGTCATTATCACTAGAGCCCCCTAATGACTTTAGGTTGGTCGAATCGAAAATACTCTATCTCTTTCTTTGACTTAGTCAATTATCTTTCCGTCTCTATCTACGCCATCAAATCCAACTGGAAGACACGTGCCATCATGGCGAGCTTAAAATATTCCTCACGACTAGTAGATGCCGGATATCGATCGCAGTACAGTACTGAAAGAACATTAGTTATTCTCTAGAAGCCGAGGATAGGCAGGGATGGCGCAGGATAATCCGGGAACAAGTTATTAAAGGAGGCCATGACGCATTCAGGATTATCGACGCAAGGAGGTTTACTGGTGGTAGGACCTCTTGGGAGTCCGCGCCGGTAGGTACCACCACCCTGCCTGTTTCTGCCGTGAAGCAGTAATACGTTTCGGTTTGAAGGGTGGGCAGTCGTTGTAACTATACTGAGATCTTAGAACTTATATCTCAAGGTGGGTGGCGTATTTACGTTGTAGATTTAGGGGCTCCAGTAACCACTTAACACTAGGTGGGCTGTGAGTTCGTCCACCCATCTAGGCCATAAAAAAAGGAGAAAGAGAAGCAGTCACGACACCCTCAGCATTGAAGACATCGCTGTTCTATACACAACACGGTCATTTAACCTGTAAATGGCGGACATTAACGTACCTGCGAACAAGGCCGTACAATCATGCACTCGATCCAGAGCCTCACGAAAGCGGCGAACGGTCCAAAAGTCTCCATGATGTAAGCATAGTCCGCGCCGCTCAGCCTGATCATCGTCCCAAGTTCAGCATAGCAGTAGGCGCCGATCTGTAGAGTGACAATAACTATATAAATTACGCAAATCATTTCATCATCATCAGCCTGCGGCAGTCCACTGCTGGACATAGGCCTCCCCCAAAGCTCGCCACTGAACCCGATTTTCGGTTCTACGCATCCAGTTACTGCCAGCTGCCTTGCGCAGGTCGTCGCTCGATCTAGCAGGAGGGTAATCATTTCGCCAATTTTTTCTTATACCCAAAAAAGATAACATTATTTGGTGATCATTATTTGGTAAGTTCATGAAAAATAACTCCATTTCGATATGGGTCGTACTAGGTAAATCAGATACTAGGTCCACCTGTTCCTAATCATAAGAAATACCTAATCCAAATACCTAATCCACATAATCTTCCTAATCTCATTCACAACCAATACTTTACTTAGTAAACAATCTCAACCTGCTATTGCTAATCTCAAGTTCTGAGTTCGTTATTAGGATTTGATTAATGTAATCGTTGGATCATTATTTGAATGATTAAGATTAGGCATTTAGGGATTGTGAGATACGTTGCAACGTAACGTGACGGTATGTTGTAACGTGAGTGAGATAGCGCAGAACAGGTGGGAGCGTATGCTGAACATTCGATTTTATGTTTTAAGGACAAAATGGAATTATGTGCAGCCAAATCTCGTAAAATATCTAATACTCGAGTCTGTTCTAATAAATTCGACTCATCTCTAGTGTATATGAGTATTTGTCTCTAATTGCCATAGTATAGAGCAGGGGCTCCCAAGCTTATTTTGTCTAGTGCCCAGACTTTTACTATAAGACGCAAGAGTTAACTTGATACCTGAGCACAGTAGGTAGTATACATCGGCGCTTAGGTCCCAAGTTAACTGTTACGGGCTAGACATGCTAATGAAAATGATTATTGAAACGCAACTTTATAGTATTCATTCAGACAGAGTATCTTTTATTCATAATAAAACAAACAATCGATTCTAATAAAGGATTTTTTGGGATATTATCTGCGGCCAGTTTGTGAAGCAAAGTGGTTTGTCTTTCTGAGCAATCAATAAAGAGATATTATACGAAGCACGAAGTCCATCGTCATCTTGTTTAGCAGCCGCCGAATAGAGTTTTGCTACACTTGGCTGAGTATTATACTTCTTCTCCAGGTCTTTAAAATATGCTACATTCTTGTCTTTCTTATCTGGATTTATTTTATTCAAATGATCTTGCAGTCTTGAAGGCTTCATTGCTTCATTAGAAAATGTTTTTGGGGTTTTTTTGGGATTTTCAATAAATCCGAATTTAATATATTCCGCACAGTATTGCCGACTATTCTTTTTTACTTTCGACATTGTTTTGTTTTGGGAAATACGTGAGTAAGTGTTGAACTTAAATACTGGTTATCTATTACGCGCCAAAACCTCAAATGAAAATAAAATAAATATTACATAGTTAATATAGGATTGCATAAGCAGCACGCACCAACAGGAATAATACAAAGTTGCATAAACTCGTTTATTTCATTCGAAGCTTAATCGTACTCAACAAGTAGGAACAAGTATTCTATGAAGGTATTCTATTAATAAGTTATTTAACAAAAACTTGTTAAAACATAATTGCCCGCGGTCTATTATTATCTACGAAAATGACCTATCTAGGAATACTAATAACTATCAAAATGCCAAAGTGTGTCTGTTGCATTTTTATTTGTTTGTTTGAGTCTACTCTCATTTTGAAACGTAGCGATCGATTGTCATGATTAATATTTTATTTATTGAATAAAACAAGACCTATATATGAACTGTATTGAGTAATATCTTAATTAATATTAAATGCTGATCAAAAGTTGCAGTCGGGAGTCGAGAGCTCAGTCGGTGTCCAGAGTGACAGATGAGAGTGTCTAGATGAAATTACAAATCGCCTCCCAAGCCTATCCAACGCCCCATATTTTTTTCTGAGTCTCTTATCGCCCCCCTTTTAGGCCTGTAGTGCCCATGAGGGGGCGTTATTGACAACTTTGGGAAAAGCTGGTATAGGTAGTCATAATTCGGGGCCAAACGAACAAATGTGGGATTCATAGTTTAAAAACTTTTTAAAGAATGGTCAAATATGTACGTTCGAATGTAATGTGTACTTCTGTTTTTACTTTAATTTACGTTATTGCTTTAAGTCAGTTGATACTATTGTTACCGAGTCCAGGCAACCCCCGACCGAGAGCAGCGCTAAAACTATAAAAGCGATCCCTTTCTGCGCCTTTGCCTCTTTTTGTGCGTGGCGTTCGTGTGTGCGGTTCTTGTTGAAACATGTTTGGGACTTGTGTAATTTTAACAGTTTTCGTTAATAGTAAATTGAAATCATTTTGTTAAAAGTATTGTTGTTAATTCAGTGAAATATAATTAGGCCAGTTCTGTGTTATTTATTTCTTTTTGTTAACTACCTCACTTCTGGTCGATAATACTATAAATATACTGCACTATAGATAGACCAACAGACCAACAATGTATAGTATAAGTATACGGGCGGAAGTCGAGCGATCAAATAATACATTTTTAAATATGATAAGATGTAAACGTACTATGAAGCTAACCTTCCCAATGAACCTGTCACCGTGCGATAAGAATCACATGACAGCAATATAAACATTTACGAGGCACGACCGGCTGCGGAATTAGACAATCTGGATTCTCTGAATACACTGTACCAGAACCTCTCTCTGTGGCCTCTTATCCGGTCGCGAAAGAGGCCTGGTGGACCGGGTATGGGCTGATGTCACTCTGCCCGATTATTTTTTTATGCTTTATATAATAGACAGTAAAGGCGGACTTAATGCCATAGACATTCTCAGACAGTCTGTCTACCTTAGGGGGATGCAGAGATGAACCTTGGTAGGTGTAGTGTGATAGTGATATTACTTAAACATATGTGTATATTATTATATAACATACATAATGTTTATAGATACAAATTATCATCATAATCGGTTGCTCTTGGCAGAACAGTCGTGGTCATGTGGAATTCTTGCTCATTAAAGCCTTGACAGATATGTTTTCCACAGTTTGCGAACCGAGGCCCGGCGCGCACACTCGTTATGTGGGGTTTCAGTAAGGTCTTTCACCTGATCAGTCCAACGCATGGGGATTCGTCCACGAGATCTCTTACCATTGACCCTACCCTGAACAACAAGTTTCTCGATAGACTCTGCTGGCCGACGCGATACAATATATATTATATTGTATAGATACAAATACTCGATTTCTAATTGCGGGGATCGTTTTTATATTTTTTATTTGTTATTATTTATGAGTAAGTTATGTGATGTGAATACATTGTACCGGTACCATTGGACCGGGTATGGGCTGATGTCATTCTACCCGATTTCTAATCGGGCCCGATTAAATATTTTTTTTATTTGGTATTATTTAAGAACAAGTTAGGTTACGGCCACCTTGCCTACTTCTGCCGAGAAGCAGCTACGCGTTCCAGTATATATGCTGTTCAGATCGAGACTTCGACTCCGGGTTTCATGGTGAATAATCACAGTTTTTTATTTTTTTTGCTTAGAGGCATGGACGAGCTCACAGCCCACCTGGATTTAAGGGGTTACTGGAGCCCATAGACATCTACAACGTAAATGCGCCACCCACCTTGAGATATAAGCTCTAAGGTCTCAAGTATAATTACAACGGCTGCCCCACCCTTCAAACCGAAACGCATTACTGCTTCACGGCAGAAATAGGCAGGGTGATGGTACCTACCCGCGCAGACTCACAAGAGGTCCTACTACCAGTATCTGTCTAAGAGCTCCGGTAACCACTCAACACCAGCTCGTCCCGAAGTTCGATGCTCATATTCAGCATAAAAAACAAACCTTACTAGACAATAACCTAAACTATAACCTAATCTAAAAATATGAAACATATAAATATCAATTTTAAATAGAATCCTTTTGTACCTAATAATTTTTTATTAATAATTCACTAATTTCATTACGTCGAGAGATATTTAATCAAATTAATTTTAGCCGATAAAGAAGCCTGTACACTCAATTTGATTTCCCCAGACGTTGAAGAACAGAAAGAAATAATGAATTCCCGAGATATCTTGTTATTTGGGTATTAGTTTGAAAAGCTGGGCACAAATCATGTCGATTGCGTAAAGGAAATTTCTCAAGAATCAAACTAATACTGCTTCTAGGGCATCTTGTGAGCACACACTGGTAGATACGACCACCGTGCCCATTTCTGCCGTACAACAATAATGCGCTTCGGTTTGAAGGGTGGGATAGCCGTCATACTAAAAAAAACTAATTAAGAACTCATGTCTCAAAGTGAGTGGCAGCATTTACGTTATTGATATCTATGAGCTGACTGACCACTTAGATGACAGGAGCTCGTCCATACATCTCTCTCTCTATCTTTCTCTTCGTCGCTTCCCCATTACTGAGGGTCGTGACCACCTTGGCCTAGTTTTTGCACAAGCTTCCTCCAATGTTGCCTGCATTCAGCCTGCTTATATTCCATACATCTAAACAAGAAAAATTAAAAACTCAATCTACAGAACTCACCATACTAAAAACTCCCGAGGCAATCCAAACAAGAAGACTAGCGTTCACGGAACCTGTATACTTGAGGACTCCGGTTGGCGATACGAAGATTCCACTTCCGATGATGGAGCCGACGATAACCGTGCACCCGTTCAGCAAGGACATCTTGGCTTCCAGGGCCCCCCCGTCTTTGCTGACGTTATCGCCCTCCATTTCAGAGTTTAAGGCTTCGCTGTCATATTTATCTTCTTGTTTCTTTTTTCGCGACCTTTGGGTGATACAGTACAATGAATAATTGAATTGTTTAAAGTGTGTTTACTTTTTACTGGTGGTATGAGCTCTTGTAAGTCCGCACGGGTAGGCACCACCGCCCTGCCTATTTCTGCCGTGAAGCAGTAATGCGTTTCGGCTTGAAGGGCGTGGCAGCCGTTGTAACTATAGCGAGATTTTATAACTTATATCTCAAGGTGGGTGGCGCATTTACGTTGTAGATGTCTATGGGCTCCAGTAACCACTTAACACCAGGTGGGCTGTGAGCTCATCCACCCATCTAAGAAAAAGAAAAAAAAGATAATGGAATGTTTTAACATGATTTTGACCCCCTTCAAAACGTCGGATTAACTCGAAATTTGCCATACTTATTAAGGACCGATGACGATTCAATATTTTACGCAGTTTGATCCATTATCCTTACTAGGATAATCAGGATTTGCGGTTTTTTTTTCCTGAGATTCGAAGTGTCTGCGTCAAGACCAAGAAGGGAAACTACCAGGCGCGCTGACCACCTATTTCTCGGATAAGTTACCGACTGATTCAAATGAGATTTTTGAATTTGATAAAAATGAAATTCAACTAAAAAATGAAAAATAAATAATAGTTTAAAAAAAACTTAAAACATACGCTTTTATAGAAAATCCAATTAAAAAATAGAAAACAAATTTGAATTAAAAATAGTGTAAGAAAAAAATATTTTACTGTAAAAAAAAGCGTAGGATGCATGGTATCAATAGTTATATATATTTTGATAATATCTTGGAAAGCACCAATTACGATATTATTTTTGTATCCATGGAAATGAGATTTACTGTAAGATAAAATTCGCAGTGTTTGCGTTCAATGTAATGCCAAACGTAGCAGGAGACCGTTGTCCGCGGTCTCTTGCTACCCCGTATTCCACGCTCCAGCTGATTCTTAATTGCAATACATTGCATGCAATTAAAAATACATTATTTTAGTTCTAATTTCTATGAACGATTGCTTGGTGCTAGCGTATTATGAAACATCAACGCATCACGTTTATTTATTGTGATTTCGTTTTGTATAACAAGGCATAGTTTGATTTAAATTAATTTTAACCAGATGATGACCGAGCTTTGCTAGGATTTTTTTTTTGATAACGCCATCTTGTTGTGTCTTTAAAGTGGTTAGTTGCCCTCAATTAAGAAAAATAGTATTATTATTCGCCAATAGATGTCGGGAAGGGTTGATTATTGAAAACACGAATAAAACAACATTTTCTGAAAATAAATCGTAGCTAGATCGATTTGTCGCCCCCGAAATCCCCTGTTCACTAAATTTTATGAAAATCGTTGGAGCCGTTTCCGAGATTCAGATTATATACATATATATTAATATACAAGAATTGCTCGTTTAAAGGTATAAGATTTTGAAAAAACGGCGGTCACACAATCTAACCGCTTCGTTTCATAAAATATATTTTCTGATTTACCTTTTATGGTGAAGACGCTGTGTTAGAGCCGCACTACCGATCTTCCCGACCATGTCACACGAGTAATGCGACCCAAGAATAGAAATAAATTGAAAAGATCCGCTTTAGACATACGATACGAGCCGAATTACAAACGATTGAATAGTTCGTCTTGTGTATATGAATGTTGCAAGGTTATTGAACTGATTGATTTCATTGAATGTTTTGATCATTTTTTATTATCTAACACTTGTGCGCACGAACCAGACCTAACTAGACGAACTAGACTATAGTATTGGCCTAATAACATTAAAAACGAATTTAAACAGCGGCATCTACTTATTTTGGTGAATATCATCATAAATCTTGTAGGTTCAGTGCTGTTTATTGTAGGGAAAGCATGGAGTTTTATGTTTGGACCGGTTTCCCATCCACAAGCATTCTCACTCTCCCCTCGTTCATTGCATAGAGCTGAGAGTCGTAATCTTTGCGAAGTCTTTATCAAGAGTCGATAATACTCTATACTAGTGTGAAGTATGTTCAATCCATACTAATATATAAATCTACAGTGGTTTTTACGCATGTTCCGTTACAACTACTAAACAATGCATCCGATTGACTTGAAACTTGGTATCCATGTAGAAAATACATGTACTTAATGGATAGGCTAATATTTATATGAGTGTTGGACTCCCTAATAATAATGACAATTAATAATAATGTTAATTTTAAATTCCCAGCAAAGCGGGCGAGTACGGCTAGTCTTCCAGTAAAATCACAGAAACGACTGATAAGATTGAAATGATCTTTTCCGTCGATTAAATCAGCTTCCAAAACACAAGTAACATGTACATGCTAATGAAATGTTGTTGCTGATTATAAGACGTATTCGACACCAGAAGTAGGTACTATGAGAGAATTTCGATTAGTAATATTCACAATATGACTGACCCAGTGGTGCAGTGGTTAGCGGCCCTCACTATTGCGCCGTGGGTCGTGGGTTCGATTCCCACTCGGGCAAACATTGTGTGATGAACAGGTTTGTTTGCTCTTTCTCTGGGTGGTTATTATCTACATATGTACATATTTAAACATGTAAGCATGTTTCTGAGTCTGTGGTACCCTTACTGCAGGGAATTCTAAACTGGGCCGGACGACCGTGCCTGATTTGTTCCCAATTATTATTATTATTAGTTATTATTCATTAAACGTCTATTACAAAACAAAATATAACGATTGCGACGCGCTGCAAACATTACAAAGAAACTACTATTTACAGTTACTTTTAAAAACACAGACCATATTGTTTTAATATTTTATTTTATGACGTTTTGCCTTTGTAGACTAAATTGTAAATTAATAATAAGAATTCAAATTATGAAACACTTTTTTAGTCTCGGTCGTCAATCCAACTCTAAGCAGCAACTCAAGAAAGCCACAAGTAGCCCACTTTCTAGGCGCATCATTCAACCGACTCGGTGGTACCATTACACTGTCACTAAATTACTACTAACAAAAAACATAACAAAAAGTACCCATAGGAAAATAATGAACTTAATCATTATTACTGTACTATAATAAAAACAAAATTTATTAATTCTGTTCTTTCTTTTCAATAAGCTCTTTAATCATAACTCATGATGTCACATGTGGGTAATAGCTGTTTTTTTTTTCAATCTATAATATTATTATATCCGTGGCTTATTAGTCGTTTGAATTTTTACAAAATTAAGACACGACCTAAAGGTCTTAGTGATCAGGTCATAAAATCCCTTAAAAAAAAAAATGTCACACGTGACGAAGCGCAACGGTTTAGCAGTTTGCGCGGGAATTTTGAAAAATAATGAAATTTTTCCGTCTCAAAACAGGTTTTATAATGTCATCAGATTTTTTTCTCATTGACTTTAATAAAAAGCAAAAGTGTTATTGTTACAATTTCCTAGAATGTTTCCGAATGAAAACCGAACCGCAAAAACTGTACAGTTATCTATACAATAAAATGAGTCACGACCAATCTGAACAGGAAAAAGAAATCACATTTTATAGTACTGTTACTACAAAAAATATATTGAAAGATTTTAGTAGATATTTAAGCTTTGGTACCAAACAAATTGTTATTATTAATAATTTAAACACAATATTTGCAGTTTTTTGTTCCATTCAATATTACTTATAATAAATTTATGTCGTAAATTTTTATTCGTTCGATTACGTTCAATTAAGATAATGTTTTCGATGGTTTTTTATATATGTAGTTAATCGAGGTTGTCCGTTATATTCGGGATAAATAGTTGCTAGTATCATACTCTAATCCATTTAGTCGATTCGTAGATCCATCAGCACGTACATAATAATATGTATAACCACTATGTAATATACAAACGGACATATTTACTGTAGCAAACCAAACTTGATATTACCTAAGTCATGATCATATTGAAAACTATCTGTGGGTTCTAGACCAATGTTTGTACGAAATTTCATTTAAATATATTCGGCCATTTTTGCGTGATTCATTAATATAGAATAATGTGCATATTAGAATGAGTAGCCTAGAATAGTACATCTAATATTTCAAATCTACAATTTTAGTACAGGCATCCATTACAGAAAGCTCAATAAAAGTTGAACTGTGATGTAAATGTAAAATAAAATGATAAGTACATAAAAATTATACATCGAGGGGTATTTATTTGGCTTAAGCGACATTTTTGCAACTTTACTGGAGAGCCACTCAAAGTTTAAAATTTGGAAAAAATATCATAACAAAAAAACTTCTTTAGCTATTAGAACGGGGTAAACTTAATTGAAGTTCAATCGTCAATGTTTGAACTGTTGATACTACTCGTAATACCCAATAAAACGGAAGTTTAATTACAAAGATAAATGTCGCGTTGTAAGTGAAATGTTGCTAAAAACAAGTAGTTAAAAGTGAGACCTTATAACTCATGTCTCAATATACCTAACTTTGTAGGCGGCATTTACGTTTTAGATGTCAATGGGCTTCGGTAACCGCTTAACACCAGATGGAACGTGAGCTCGTAAGCCCATCTAATAAATAAATTAATTAAATAGTGTTAAAGTCGTTTCGAATTTATTATTCCAAGGATCCCTAATGTTTTCCTGTTTTAGACAATGATATCAGAACAAATAAGAGCTTAATTTCAATCATTTTTAAGTGCTTAAGAGGCTAAGGTTCTTTTTATTTATTTATTTTTATTGCCCTTGTAGGCAGACGAGCATACCGCCCACCTGATGGTTACCGTCGCCCATGGACTTCAGCAATGCCAGGGACAGTCAACAAGTCGCTGCCTACAAATATTTTCTTTCGTCTGTCTCGAATAGTTTACAGCTAATCAAAATTGTGGTCACGGATGACTGACTCGCCCAGCCGTCCGTGACCATGCGAATGTAGGCAGAATATTTTTTTATACATACTATTATTAAAAAAACATGACTAATATCTTACAAATACAAACGGCAAAGTTCTATAAAAGTCGTAATCTATCTAAAACTTCCAAATTTTACTGCTGGTAGGACGTATTGTGAGTCCGCACGGG